AGCTGTAAAATGTCACAGTAACTCATTGCGTACTGTGTAAAACTACAACCAAAGGGAATTTCAGAGTGATACCGAGTACTTCGGGAAATCACAGCAAGCAACATGATACTGTAGAAATTCACAGTAATTTTTTTAATTGTACAATGTATTTTTAAGTAATTATAGCAACCAGTACATTACTGTAAATACTGTATTTGCAGTAACATCATATGTAACCAATGGGTATAGCCTCTCCGTGGGCTGCCACCTTACCGTGGTGGAGGGGTTTGAGTGTCCCAATGATCCTAGGACCTAACCCCAAAATTCCACTATCTCCGCTCCGCCCCCACCCTCCGCTGCCGCTCGCTTCCGAACTCAAATTATACTGTACCCGCTGTACAACGGCTCCACTCCGGTGCGGAGACCTGAGGTGCGCAAAAAGGCATGCGTGGTATTTTCGAGATCTTGCGATACAGTCCGAGCAATAAACGCGGAAGTTAGATCCAAACACCCGTTGTGTGGGAGAAGCATCGAAATTAACTGTTTAATCTGCCTATCATTTGTGTTGAGAGTTCAGCAGTGTTTGGATCAACAAAGTGTGACTACTTTGATAGTGGAAACTGTATTTATGGCTTATTTTTGTGCATTTCAAGTTCAACTGCCATTGTTAGTTGTTAAAAGTTGTTAAACCTGTGCATATGAAACAAAAAACACTTTTTGTTTATCGATTCATTGTGAAATAACGGAAGTTGTGCTTGCTCCCTTTCCTGTTGGGCGGTTGTGGTTTCGGTCCATTGACTGCGGAGTTGCTCCGGTGTCCGGCAAAAATAGAATCAATCTTATTTTTGCCGGATGGCGGAACGGCGGGCGGCGCACTGCGCCGCATGGCCTCAGCAGTGGAACAGCTCTGATTGACTACAACGGGACTGTTTTTGCTGCGGAGTTCGTGCCGGAGCGGAGCGGAGATAGTGGAAATTTGGTGTAAGTTGTCTGAGGCTTTATGCCTCTGGTAGGGTCACCCATGGCAAACAGGTTTTAGGTTAGGGGTCAGACAAAGAGCAGCCTGAAGACCTCTTATGATGAATAATATAAATGGAAACTGTGTTCCCTCGTCTGGATGTGGGTCACCGGGGCTCCCCTCTGGAGCCAGGCCTGGAGGTGAGGCACGTTGGCAAGTGCCTGGTGGCCGGGCTTTCACCCATGGAGCCCGGCCGGGCACAGCCTGAACAGGAAACGTGGGTTCCCCTTCCCATGGGCTCACCACTCGTGGGAGGGGCCAAAGGGTCAGGTGCAGCGTGTGACGGATGGTAGTCGAGGGCGGGGTCCTTGGCGCTCTGATCCTCGGCTACAGAAGCTGGCTCTTGGCACATGGAATGTTGCCTCTCTGGTGGGGAAGGAGCCTGATTTGGTGTGTGAAGTTGAGAGATTCTGACTAGATATAGTTGGACTCACCTCAACGCAAGGTCCTGGCTCTGGCTCTGGAACCAGTTTCCTTGAGAGGGGTTGGACTTTCTACCACTCTGGAGTTGCTCCCA